CACGCGCGTCCGCCGGGCTGGCCGAGGGTTGCTGATGTGGCCGCCCCGGTGCGACCCGGAGCCCGGCGCCGCCCTTCCCGGACCTGCGTCCTCGTCCTGGCAGCTGGGCTCGGCACAGGCAGAGTTAGCCCAGGCTGCCCCGACAGGAGCCCGGGCTTTACCGTCCGAGCGCATCCACATCCCAGCGCGCGCATCCTCCGCTCACCGCTTCTCTGCTCAGACCCGGGCCTGTGCACCGCGGAGTTCGTGTTTCCCACGGACCGGAATTCAATCCGAGGACGTGGGATCTGTGCCTGCTTCTACGCAGGGCCGGGCACCAGCTGAGGTCCGGCCAGACGCGGAGGAGACGTCCGGACCGCAAGACACGCCCTCGCGGTACCAGGATCGGAGCCAAGTGCACCGGGCGCCAGCTGTGCAGTTTGCCCACGCTTGCTTTTGGAAATCGCGGGGAAAGTCAGCCAAATTTTCCAGTGGAAAACCGAGGCCTCTTTTAATGACTATTTATTGGGCACCTATTATGTATGACCCAGGTAGTGGGACATGCCACAGGATAAGGAAAATAAAGGTGCCCACAGGCGCTTACTCTCAGCAAGGCTATTCATTTTGAAAACCACACGCCCCAGTTTACTCCTTTGCCTCAAAGCAAAGCTTCCACCAATCCTAAATTACAGCAGTGATTTAGCAGCTTTTCAGGTGGAGAGAGACAGTCGGTCTGTGTTTATCCAGTTTTTTCCATCTGCTTTACAGTCAAATCTTCAACTTAACTTTAACCTTTAAAGGCCAAGGGAGCTTCTGTAACGACTCTTGGCCTTCTGCAGTACTTTTGTACATAATAGTTCATTCTGAATTTGCTTAGTTGGTTTGGGGCACATGTTTTGGGGTTTTTTGTTTTGTTTTGTTTTGTTTAAGACAGGGTCTCCCAGTAGCCCCGCTGGCCTGGGAACTTGCTATGTAGACCAGGCTGGGTCAGTCACAGAAATCTACCTGCCTCTGCCTCCCTAGGGCTGAGATTAAAGGCATGTGCCACCACACCCTGCCCTAGAACACTTTTGGAAAGATGTTTGGGGGAAGGGTGATGGCTCTGTTCAGAGCACTTACTGCTCTTTCAGAGGGCAGGAGTTCAGTTCCCAGCATCCACATACTGGTTCACAACTCCCTGTAACTGTACCTCCAGTGGATCCAATGCCTTTTTGTGATCTCCACAGGCATCAGGCACACACATACACACAGGCACTCACACATCAAACAAATTAAGATGAGATAGCTCAGAGGGTAAAGATGCTTGCCACCAAGCCTGATAACCTGAGCTCAATCCCCAGAACCTAGCCAGTGGAAGGAGAATCAAAGCATGTGGTCCATGCCCCCCCACCTGGTGCCAAATAAAAAAAATAATTTAAAAAGATTTGAAAGGACTAGAGAGATGGCAAGCAGTCAAAATTATGTACTGCTCTTGCAGAGCAATAGAATTCAGTTCCCAGTGCCTCTCTCTCTCTCTCTCTCTCTCTCTCTCTCTCTCTCTCTCTCTCTCACACACACACACACACACACACACAGTCACTCACAACTGCCTGTAACTCCAGCACCAGGGAGCAGATTCAATACCCTCTCTGGCCTCCATGTGCATCTGCACTAACATGCATATACCCACACAAAGACAAGTATATACACAGTAATTTAAAATCTTCAAAAGATTTTTAACACCTTCAGGAGTGAAACTATAATTCTAAAGAATATGGGTGTTAAATAAAAATTATAAGACATTGTTTTGAACTAGGTTTCAGTGCTAGACCCTAACAGCCTACTAGAAGTCAAAATAGTCACTTAACCCTAAATTCTCTGTCACCAGACTGAAAGGGTTCATTCTGCCTTCCTGAGCTGTTTCAGTTGGCTTCATTATGAAGCCATCTAATCCTTCTTTGCTCACAAAGGCTACTTGATGCTGACTGTGGTGGGAACTTCCCTCTCTTCCTCGGTTCTGGGTTCTTGTCTCACAAGGGAAGAAACTCCAATGAGCCAGTTTGCTTTTCAGTTTCTTATTTCTTTCTTCCGCCCTCTGATACCAACCTATGAAAGGAACCTCCTCTTCCCACCACCTTGGAACATTTCCTCTGTTTTGTGGAATGAAGTATGGCCCAGTTCTTCAATCAGAAAACATGGCCAATTAAAATCCTTAAACTAAATTGTTGTAATTTTGTCCTTTGACACAGGGAAGCAGTGATTTCACAGCACTTACAGCTGGTCTTTGTCTTTTTTTTTAACCATATATTACTAGAAAATAAATAACAGGCTTCTGAAGACTCTTTAAAGTGTGTCAGAAATTCTAACAGGTAAGCATGTCTCCCCTGGGTCATGGAGTCTTAAAGATTTCTACACAGAACAATATCCAGTAGAAGCCAACCTCTGTCCATTTGAAAATCCTTCCATTTTTCCTGGGAAAGCTGAGGGCGGGGGGCATTCAACTACCCTTTGTTCCAATCAACTGGTATATGGAAGGCTGCTTTCTGTCTATATCTTCAACCTGTATGCCACAGTTGGGTGTGGATTTTTGAGATATGTTGAGCTGAAAGTTGGACTTCAAATAGAAATTCAGTTTTTGTCCTGAGAATAACTCAAGTTGAAATCAGGTCAAAAAATAACCCCTTCCAAACAACAGGTCCTGATGTATGCAGTCACCAAAATTCACATTTCCGTTTCCTCTTTTGCCTGATCACTGGCAGCTTAGAATGTGAAGCAAAGTGACTAGAGCTCAGTGAGATAGTAATCACAGTTGTTATGACTACTAGAGAAAAAAAAGGGGGGGTGATGAAAGTCTGTGACAAAGGAACCTGTCTTCTGAGGCATAAAAAACTGCCCAGGAGGAAATGGCATCTAATCTGAGCCTGACGAACAAAAAGTTGGACAGACAACAAAGACCAAGTATGAGTTACTGTGGCCTAGAGATCTGTTACTTCAAATGATATCTATGGAAGAAGTGCTGTGAACCTTCATAGTCACAGAACAATACCTCTACCAATACAATGGTGAGGCATCAGAGAAGTGGGCATAGATTAGGTATGTCGAAGCATTCTTAGCTTTAGCGTTGGTCTGGAGGCTAAAGGTCTGCTAAACTTAGTGATAGATTCTGAGAAGTTTGTACATATGTCTATTTGTACATACATCCACATAGACATAGCTATGTGTACATAAGTTTAGGCTCTCATTTGAGAGAAAGGGGCTATTTTTTCTTCTGCTCTGGCTTATTTTGCTTAAACACAATGATTTTTCAGATACATCCGCCTGGTAAATGTCATGGTTTCATTTTTCTTCATGACTGTATATCGTGTGTGTGTGTATGTGTGTGTGTGTGTGTGTATGTGTAGTGTGTGTGGTTTGTGGTGTATTGTGTGTATGCAGAGGTAGAAGAAGGAGGATAGCAGATGTTCCTCTTATCACTCTCCACCTCTGGGGGGGGGTGTTGGTGCAGGGTTTCTCTGTAGCCCCAGTTGGCCTGGAACTCTGTAGGTAAACCAGGCTGGCCTTGATCTCACAGAGACCCACCTGCCTCTGCCTCCCCAGTGCTGGGATTAAAGGTGTGTGCTAGCACACCCTGCTTCCACCTTATGTTCTGAGACAGGGTCTCACTGGGTGTTTTGTTTTGTTTGTTTGTTTGTTTGGTCTTTTTTTTTTTTGAGACAGGGCCTCCTTAGTCACAGCTGGCCTGGATTCGCTATGAAGACCAGCCTGCCTTTGCCTCCCCAGTGCTGGGATTAAAGGCCTTTGCTACCAAGCACTGAAGCAAGGTCTCTAGCTAAACCTGACACTCACTGTTTTAGGGGAGCTCCTAAGATTTGCCTGTCTCCATTTCCCCAGTACTGGGGTAACAGGCACACTCAGCCATGACTGGCTTTTACATGGGCACTGGGGATTTGAACCCAGGTCCTCTTGCTTTCACAGCAAGCATCCTAACCACTGAGCCATCTCCTCAGTCCCTTGTTTTGTTTTTTGAAATAGTCTTGATGATATGCATGACGAGCTTCTGAAAAAAAAATTTTTCTTTTTTCTTTTTATTTTTTGGTCTTTTTTTGAGACAGGGTCTTCCTGTAGCTCCAACTGGCCTGGAACTCACTATGTAGACCAAGCTGGCCTTGAACTCACAGAGATCTGCCTGCTTCTGCCTCTCAAATGCTGGGACTAACGGTGTGGGCCAGCACACTTCGGTCTGAAAACTTTATGAATCAGCACAATGTTATGTCAGATACGAAGTTCTGGTAATTGGTTGTTAAAGGCCTAGGATAACCCAAGATAATTTCTGCTTTTGATTTACAGTGCTGCCTCTTTCCAGAATCACAGAGTTGTAGTCAACCAAAGTCAAGCAGTATGCAGGATCTTAATATCAACAGAGCTTCTTTAAAGAGCTTTTGTTCACTGGGAGGTCAGAAGGGGACACTTTTGCAATTACATTTATTTGCTTTTAGGGTGGCATGTGCCAGGGCACACATATGGAAGTCAGAGGACAGTTTGTGGGAGTTGTTTTTTTTTTTTTTTTTTTTAACCATGTGGGTCCAGGGAACCAAACTCAGGTCATCAGGTTTGACAACAAACACCATTACCCAGTGAGTCATCTCACCCACCGAGAAAAGTAAATTTGAGTTGCTTTGGATCTGCTGAGTTTGGTGTCAGTGCAGTCAAGATGTTGAATATATCTTTGGAAAATGAATCTGGGAATGAACGTGTTCATGATGCCAGAAAAGTGCTCTTGTGTTCTCCCAGAACAGAGATGAAGTCAAAAGTAAATTTTAAGGGGCTGGAGAAATGGCTCAGCAGTTAAGAGCACTGACTGCTCTTGTAGAGGACCCAGGTTTGATTCCCAGCACCCAAAGGGCAACAAACAACCATCCTTAACTCCAGTTCCAGAGGATCTGACGCCTTCTTCTGATCTCCATAGGCATTGCATAACACTGGTACACTTACACACTTGAGGGCAATACAGTCATATACATGAAATAAAAATAATAAAGCCAGGTGTGGTGGCACATGTCTTTAATGCCAGCACTAGGGAGGCAGAGGCAGGCAGATCTCTGTGATTTCGAGGCCAGCCTAGTCTACATAGTGATTTCCAGGCCAACTGGGGCTACAGGGAGACCCTGTCTCAAAATAACCGAATAATAATAATAATAGTAATAATAATAAATATTAAAAAGTAAATTTTAAGGGAGCAGATAATGGGACGTGTATGTGAAGACAGAACTTCTAAACTCTGGAGAAAACATAAGCAAAAGCAAAAGATGTGTGAGACACTTGGCAGAACTCTTTCCACTTACTCCTTATAACCTATAAAGATGATATAATTCATATTTTTTTTACATGAGGAAGCTGAGGATTATTTGCTTGCTCAAAGACAAATTCCCCATCACACCCATTATATAAGGATCTCTGTACAGAGTTCCGATGTTCACTGAGACTCAAAAACTACAGTACACAACAGCTGGGGAGGTGGCTCA